GTAATTTAAATATATACAGTTGCACTGAATAAATACACATAAGGATGAGCACCCATCAGAGTCTGATCTTACTGAACGCAGAATTGATTGGACGGTTTTCTCATTCGACATCCTTTTTACTGGCTGGGTATTCCGTTACAAAACCAGAAATTGGCACGTGAGCATTTTGTAATATCCTAATCGTCAGATTTGTTTAAAGTAAACATCACGAAAGGGTAGACACGTGAACAATAAAAGTCCCTTTATCCAGACGGCGAGTCATATGGATGTGCCCGTGGGTGAATGCCTGTCCCCACAATATGTAATACATTTAGCTACAAAACTTGACCCACGTAGTTAGATCAACTGCTGATTGTGGCAGTGCATCACGAAAGACTACGGCGACGATGAAAAATCGCCTTTGGACTTACTGCATGAATGAGAGTGGTAGAGCGATCTCCACATCGACAACACTGGTACCCCAGGAAGCGGTGCTTTTACGACCTTTTCCATGGTCCGACAACACTTCTCGCTGCTGTGACAAGGTAACGCAGGTCTCGCACGTTTATCACTTGGGTGAAACAACTGTATTGATATTTACATAAGGGATAAATGTTTTTTCAGTCTCACAACAATTAAGGATCTTTTCTACAATGTACATTATCATTTATTATTTTTTTAACGAAATTGAATTATTAGATAAATTTTGAACAATAAGTATCGTAAAATCATTGTCCTCCTGAGAGGGTACATAAGTCACAAAATATTCAATGTAAATTTAGCACAACCATGCTTTTTTATTGTATAATATTTGTTATTTTAAATTATGGCTAAATGTTCCTACCATCGCCACTGCCTAAAGGGATGGTGTGAATCTAACTAGGGTTCATGTAGGTAGCAAAGGCACTGTAAGTCCCCATGGTCCCTGATATGATGATCCACCTTCAGTTGTTGGCAATCTATAGTCTGTTTTTATATTGCATCGTCTTGTTTAGTTAAACTGTTTTAAATTAAATTGCTAGTTTTATAATTATATTTGGGATAAACTAGTTGTTTTACTGTCCTTCGTTGACAGGTTTTTATAATGTACCTATAATCACTATAAATATATAAATTCAAATAGTCACGATATGGCTGGAATACTGCCGATGTGATTTAACATTTTAACTCACTCACTCACTCACTTGGGTGAAACAGACGAGTACGGATATATGGTGAACCGGAATTCGAACCCGAAGTCATCATGGCGTCCCGAAGGGACGCAACTCTGCACAACGAATTGCCTTAGACGAAATGCTACTTGCTTACTGTAGTTTTCATAATTGCTAATATTATACATAACGTCAACCGAAAAAACAGGTTTGAAGTATAAATAATCTCCCCCCTGCTTACCTTGACATTAGTTTAGAAATTGGATTTAACGAGCAAACTCGATTTAACAGCAAAACGGAGATGCAAATCACGTGACCTCAGTAAAAGGAAACTCGTTTGTGTGGACATAAATGGTAAAATCAGTGACGTATCGGCGTAATAGAAGACCCATGGCAGCAATTAACTGGTATATAACGGTACAATTACGAGAGCAAAAGGGCGACGAGAAACGAGCCCCTATTAGGAGAGCAGCCAAATTATGGATTTTAATGCCCCCATCTTTTGTATGGAAATATTATGGCTCATTGCAAAGCTTATTGTACCTACTTTAACATAGGCCATGATGTGGTGACCACCTATGGTCCAGTTGTATTTTTAAATCATGTCACGCTACCCACCAAGGCCAAAAATTATATAATTACGACGTTTTATTTAGATATATAAATCCCTCGGTTTTTTTATTAATTTTGTATATATTTCTTTTTTCAATCAATCACTAATAGTATTAAGGCATATTCTGAATTTTTTTTATTCCATTAATTGACCAAAGGCAATAATACAGACCTGAAAATCGTATTTGGGGGAAAAATACTTATTTTACTTTGTGTGGCAGCTTGAAATCTCAGTGCCCATCCCAAGGCTATAGACACACTAGGGTAAATAATTCAAATGTTGCGACAAAATAGAGTCATACGCCTTTGTGACTCTTAAAATTATAGTCCTTGGAGATGCATGATGATGCAAATCTTCCAAGGTTATTTTCATACAGCATTGTCAGCGTTTATGTACAGTTTTCTGTTTTCTGTAAATGTCTAATTTTCCAACTGATTCAGACCCTTTGTATCTCTCTGACAAGTGCGCATTTCGGTATATGGTTGCATTTTTTGTAAGCGAAAAGTTCAGTCCGAATTTTCAGTTCTTTCAGGAACAGAGACAACACTGTAGTATATCATACGCCATAACACCTTGAAAGTACATAGGTTCCAGATCGTCATTTACTTTCCCCAAGCCAAAGGCCAAGGGAGATCCAAAACTTGTTTTGCAATACGGAAAGATATCCATACTCTGCTTTGCCAACATGCACGTGGTACATGTTATGTGAAACTATATTGGCATGGAGACAAATGCAAGAGTCACATCATTTCTGTGCTCCGAGGAGTGCCGTGATGTTTTCCTTTAGGTTCATATAGTTGTGTTGTGATGATTCTAACTGCAGACAATGCATTTTCTGGACTTGACCCTGACAATGAAAACAAGCAAAATTACTGTCAGGTGTTTTCAGTTTGATCTGGCCTTGAATGGACCTAAAAACAAATTCCATATCTACATGTATGGAATGAAGAATTATACAGGTGTCAGCTTCTTCGTGGAGAGGGCAGCATTTCCCTTTTAACCTGTCTTCTCGATTCACTATTGCAAAATCCCCCTGCTGGCATCAACTTTCTTTCTGGATGTCCATTAAGATGGTCCAGGTCATGAAGTACTGCTTAGTCACAACGAAATCTAGCCAGGGACTGTTTTATATGTCTACGTTCATGAATTTCTTTCATTGTGGTACACATCGACAACTAATTACTTGATACTGGCGGCAGGAAGCTCCTATCTTTCTTCTGTTTCTCTCTCGTTAAGGTCGTACTCATTATGGTCGTACCAATTAAGACATCTACAACAACATCTACTTTGTTGAAGCAGTACATCAGCTTAATATTCTAAGTTATAAAATGGAAAAGGTGTTCCGTGACATCATTTGGAGTACTGCTATGCCACCTCAAATGTTAACTGTACGACTGGTGGATGTACCTGAAGATATTTCATTATGCTTTGGTACTTCGCTCTCTTGTTTGTACCAAAGGTCAGGTTTCCTCGTGGTGCTTTTTCATGATAAAGTGAAGTAAAAATGGAATCTATAGGATGCCTGAGAACAGTTTCCTGAGTGACATCTTCACATGTAGCAAGAATCAGAGCTCGACGAAATATGATTTCTAGTCAAAGTATTTCCTATTTTGCTCTTGAATTTAGTTGCCTTTGTCATGTCAGTAAATGTTTTTGACACCAGATCTGGTAGTGGGACTGTAAAAGCTCGTCTTATATCCGTTTTCAATGCAGAATTCTCAAATCTTTCAAGGTTTTCTCTCATGTTTCTTTCATGAACAAAAAGGACTATTGCGCTTCAGCTGAGGCATATAAATTTGTTGCCATGTTCAGAAATACGTCAGGGTGAGAATCTGTATTTAAGGGATTAGCCATGCTGTTCTGGATGAGTTTGATTAGATCACTTACGTAAACTTCATCAAAGCTGGCTTGCACTCCTCATGGGTGTTGTCTTCACTGCTGCTTAACATGCTACTCCTTTCTCTGAATATAGATGTATAATCACCCGTGATATATCTGGTCAGAGTCCATCGAAGTAGTGCCGATGTCTTGCATGTTAGGCCAGCAAGCCCGCTTTCACTCTTTGAGACCGAGGTAGCTTCTCTCTACTCCCGTATAAGTCCATTTTATCGTCCAGGTTTTTCCGTCAAAGTGACCTGTCCAGTTTCAAATGCATCGTTGACAGTGTCGTGTAGGTGCACCTTCTCAAGAATGTCGACTGGTAGCCAACAAGCAAAGTATATTCGATTTGCACTGTAAAAATGTGGGAACAATGCATTTTGGGTAAGCATTTGGAGGTTCCATTTACCTTCACTCTCAACCCTGATGTTCTGCAATAGGATGTTCAGCACCACACAAAAAGTTTAGTCAAAATACAAAGGTTGGAGAAGATTTACTTTCAATTTGCTGGCATTCAATAAACTTTCATTTCGCCATTCACATAAATCTGCCATGATGGCACAAGAGATTCCCAGAAATACACCCGTGCATGTTCCAGTGTATTCTTTCTAGACCAACCAAAGAAAGCCATGAAGAGGAGAGACATGAACACTTCAAAGGCTTGTGTCAGTCCTTGAACTGCTCAATGAAAGTGTACATTGGGGTGTAAACCCCAGAATCAGTTAGCATATTCCGCTAGCCACCATTCCTTATAACTTTCCAAGAGAAACAATGTAACGGCAAACAGCATAAAATCTCCAAGGTGACATTTAAAATAAATACATACATGTTCATTACTTCAATTGCTCTCATCACAAAAACGCCTATACAGTCAGTTTGTTTCTATTAACTAAAATAGAACAGGGTTCGTACAGATCATCAACCATTAAGTTTAAGGCCTTTTCGTGGGCTTTTCAAGACCCAATCAACAATTAAGGAGCTGTAGATATACATATAACACATAAGTAGTTGAATGCACACAAGATTGGTCAAATGTGGGACCGACCATCAGGGGGAAATAACATTTAGCTACATTGCTGCACTGGGAAAGTTTTGCTTTGCGATGGAAATTACCACGCCCACTGTCAGTGGAAGGTAGTTTTATTACGTATGTGTCCTTTAAAAACATAACTTGACAAGTTTTGCTACATTTAGGGCCATTTTCTTGCAAATCACTGGTGATTAGGACCTTTTCAAGGCTGAAATGAACTTCGGACCTATGTAGGGTAAAATGTCCACATTTCAGGTGTTTTCAAAGACTATGCGCACCCTGTGGAAAGTATATTTTTATTGTTACTGAGCATGAATGCGTTGTGAAATGAGTCATTGCATTTTTATAAAAATTCTCAGAAATTTCTTAAGAATACTCTTAAGTCGCTAAGAAAATTCTCAGCTAAGAGTTACACTTAAAAGTGTAGTTATAATGACTCTGAGCGTAACTCTTAGCTAAGAGGAAAAGGAAACTCTGAGCGTAACTTTTAGAGCTGACATTGGTCGTAACCAGGGGATTCCCTGTGCTATATTTAGAATTTAAAGCACTCTTCCGGTTTGGAGGCGAAACTTTATACCACGTGACTGTCACATGATGTAAACAAGCAGACGTGAATCTGACATCTGTCAAAACTTCGCGCGATGGATTCATCACACATTGTTTCGATGAAACGCAAGCCAAATTGGACATCTGACCAGTCATTGCTGTTGGTCCGACTTGTTGATGAGCGGAAGTCAATCATCAAGGGCAAGTTTGGACCGGGAGTAACATCAAGAATGAAGAAGGAGGCATGGGGGGAGGTGGCAGCCAATATCAACGCTGCATTTCCTAACGTTGTTAGGTCAAGCGATGACTGCGAGAAAAGATGGTACAACATCCAGTCCAAGTCAAGGCAAGAAATATCTGCTTTCAAGAGACAGCTCAGTGGCACTGGTAAGTAATTACATTTCTAAGTCTTTTGATCACGGATATCTTGGAAAATAATAATATTATTCAATTTCAATTTTTTATGCACACTGCTCAAGCCTCAATTATTTGATGCAATACACAAATTCCTTGTACACGAAGTTAGAGTTGGATACAGATATATAGGAGATGTGAACTCACATGTGTAAACCTATATGAGAAAGAGCAATGTTGATAAAATATAGTTATGTTGATACATTGGCCAGTGTATGAACTGAAAAACATTGCTTGATACATATGTTGTATTTCTACTTGAGAGATGTGTTCTCATTTATACAAAATAATCTACATGGGTATATTCCTAGAAGATTAATAAAAATAAGGTGTGAAAATAAAAAAATAAAACATAGATCTATTAGTTTTAATGTATTTCAGTGTATCTTTTATCATAACTATCTTGTAAACTCAAACATGATAGATATTTAGCTACATAATTGAGTAATATGAACCATAAGACAGTAGACGTGAGCCACTAGTATAGAACCAGTGTTAAGAAGAATGTTCACATTTCACATGTTTTCTACACCTGACCAAAAGACAGACCAAAGCCAAATTAATAAGAGAAAAAACAACTTATTTCTTTATCCCCATTTATTGGGTCTTGGTTATTAAATGCTTCAAGAAGTATTTAAGCATTCAAAAGTTTGAAATGATTGCAGGAGGAGGACCTGGTCCCAGCAAGTTGAGTGCTGTTTCTGAAGCAGTATATGATGTTCTTGGCCAATCCAATGTCAGTATAAGTGGAATTGAGGGGAGCTTCGATTCAACCCTTTTGCAGGTCATGGACATATCAAACAGGTAAACATTTTTCTTTCATTCCAGCAAATCAGGTTACAAGCATGGTTGCATTCAAGGACAATGGTTACAAATGAGTAGTGTATAAGTAACAGTTCCTAGACACAGAGAAACAATCAATGACTTATTAACTATACAGACAGAGCATATAGACGGAAAGCTTATGCATATATAATCAAACCGAGATTTAGTGTTTTTGAAAAACCTGAAGTCAAGTGACATCTTTATAAATATCTGACAGAGGAAGCCATTTTTTTCAAACGCAGCCAATTTATTATTCCTGTGGGCAATGAATTTTTCTATAGAATATATCTGTTTGAAGATTTTTATCACTGTATCAACTGAAACAGTTGTCCTTTTAAGACTACTTAGAATATATGCCTTTTGCATAACAAGAGTAAATGGTTAATTAACTTAAATTTGGCTGGGAAAAGGTAAACAATCTTTCCTTTTGGTTGATAAGACATTAAGTTTTACATTCAAAAATTGATTTAAAATATTTCTTTTCAGAAGTCAGGAAGCTGCTGTCGTTGAAGCTGGGGCCCACTTGCCCCTGGATGTGCTAGCCTCACCCCAGCCCAGCTGTGCAGCAATCACCACTCCAGTTCTACCCTGCACAAGCAACGGACACCTCAGTGACTAAGAACTTTCAAGGAAAAAAAATTGTTACAGATTGACGTGCTTCAGCTCCAGAAAAAACTGTTAATGTTTAAATTGGAAAATATGAAGACAGATCAATTTAATATGTAAATGCATGAACCATGTCTGTACATGCTTACCAATATCATAATTGTTGTAATTTCTATAGGGTTAACATGGCTACTCTAGAGATATTGAAGGTGCTGTTTCAAAATCATTATTGTATTTATTTGCATGCATTTTCTAAATAAATGTTGCTACATACTCTGAAAGTGAACATTTGTGAAGTGCTGTCTGTATCGCTGTCCATCAACAGTGCAAATTTGTTGTAGAGCAAGGCGACCATCATCACATATCTCCACCCTCATCACTGTCCCCATCCTCATCACCCTCATCATCAGTATCTTCATCAGGAGGTATATAGAGATTCCTCTGCTTGCATATGTTGTGCAGTATGGCATAAGCAATGATTATCCTACATGCTTTCTCTGGGCATACCCTCACTTCACCATGCAAAACATGAAACGGTCTCTTTAGCTGACCAATCCCCCTTTCTACAACAGATCTTGTGCGCTTGTGTGCTCTGAAATAAAATCAAAACTATAATTCTCATTTTGTATTGACTGTATATTAAACATGAAATATGAACATATCTCATTATCATAGAGAAGTTGGAACTTGCTTTGTGTCTTGTCAAAAATATGTTGCCAAACATAATATATACATGACATATGTAATAATGGATATAAGGTGGAAAGTCTGGGGGGTTTCACCTAAAAGCTAAAAAAAATAAATTCAGGTGTCATTTGTCTCCTATATAATCAATATCATGAATCATTGCATCTATTCTTGGTTTGTTTCCACAGATATAGACACAGAATGTATTCAAAATAATATTTTGTTTGCCATTAAAATAACTATGTACAACTGAAATACGATTGGACTGGACTACATGTTCAGCCTGTCATAAAAAGGGCACGGTCTGCAACATCCCTGCAACTTTATTATGATTGGTATTTTGCATAAACTCTTCTCAATTGAAAAATAATTTCTAAAATATATTTACTTCAGATGTTTGGCTTTTTAAAATGTTATGCATTTGATGGCAGTGAAGTAATGTCTTTACAAAATATATCTTTTTGCTAACTGGATGTCAGTGAAGTGATGTATTTTAAAAAAATGTTCTGATAACTGGATGGCAGAGATGTTGTGTATTTACAAAATATCATTTCGTTTTTAACTTGATGGGAGTAAAGGTATGTATTTAAACATATACATATTGATAACTGGATTCTAGTGAAGTCATGTATACTTTTGTGACGATGCACATCAATAACAACTTGTGTTACAATTTGATTAATATCCAAGGAATAATGATCTTATTTCTGGGATGGTCCTGCATGATTTTAGTAGAAACCCACAAGGAAAGGGAAATTACTCTAACCAAAAAAGTTAAAGGGAATGTTGCAGACTGTGCCCTTTTTATATGACAGGATGAACATGTGTGCATATCCGCCAAAACTCTCTGTGGGTAGGTAAAATGTAGTTTTTATGTATGCAAGTTCATTATAATGGTTGTTTTGAGCACACTTATTTATCGTTTATAGATCACGAGGTACACAAAACCAGGAAACATATCATACCTGTTGTAATCTGTCTGGGGGCCGGGTTGAGGTCTCAAATATGGCGTTAGTAACCAGCGTTTGCAGGGGTAGCCACTGTCTCCGAGTAGATAGCAACTTGTGGGCATGTAGTTCCTTTCAAACAGCACTTTTAGACCACTCTCGTTTAATATGCGAGCGTCATGGGTAGAACCAGGCCACTTCACGATCACATCCAAAGTGTAATAATCGGCATCGAATACAATCTGTGTGTTGATGCTGTGATAATGTTTTCGGTTTACGTATTCTGCCTCATGATCTCGAGGTGCAATAATTTGAACATATGTACCATCAATGACACCAATGACGCCTGGGAAACCTGCTATGTTCATGAACGCTGCTTGTTTTCTTTGTATTTCACGCACATTAACTGGGAATTTTAGGAACTGCTTCACGATAGATGGCGATGTCAAAGCATTCAATGTATCATTGATGACACAGCTGATCGTGGACTGTGACGGTCCCAAGTCGTCTCCATTACACATTTGCATTTTACCTGTTGCTAAATAGCGTAAGGTGATGGCAATTTTCAGTTCAGGTGCTATTGCGTAATTTCTTTCTGTGGGTGATTGCCTGGATTCTCTCATCAAATCTGTCACATATTTGATCCCCACTCGATCAAAACGGAATCTTTTCACTAATTCATTGTCATCGTAAAATGTTAAAACGTCCTTACGTTCTCGAAAATTTCTGAGGTGACGGATGCGTTGTCTAGCGGCCGCCATTTTGTTGAGTTAAGAAAATTCTTAGGTCGACTTAGGAGTCCTCTGTGAGAGTAAAGAGGCTTTATAAATAGGTCTTGAGAAAATTCTTAAAATTAAGAGTAACTCTCACAAAATTCTCAGTATTTTCTACACTTTGGAGTAACTTTTAATTCTTAGAATTTTTATAAATACGATCGCCCCTGACCATGTTTTAGCTCCAGTAATAGAATAGTTACAGCACCATTAATATCACGTTGCTCTACAAACACAATCTGTTCTCCAACATTACCATATGCATCCTGAATATAATAAAGTCTAGACAGGCACTTATACAAGGCCATATCAGCATCGTCCTTTTCAGTAAAAATGCTCATCCCGACAACACGACGCTCTTGTATTTCGTGGTGCTTTATATCGATTTGGTATTTACCTAAAGACCAGTATAGGCATGTACTAGGGTGTTCAGTGAACCATTTGGAACACTGCACGGACAGGTCCTGTTATTAGAAGCACGCATCATTAGGAGACACGCTCCAACGATGTGTATGGTGGTGTAATGATTTCGGATATGCCTTTGTAATCAACTGATGATGTTGCTCCTTTAAACTGGTTTGTATTTAAAGCAGAATTTTGCATCTGCATACAATATGTGGGATGCTAGTGACATTTGGGCAGTTTGTTCTGAAACACATACGAATGTCAAACAGGTTCATGAATGAAGTTTCAAAGGCCTGAGCATGCACCACGCTGATATCGGTAACGTGAAAAACCCTAAGATCTTTATTGGTATTCCCCTAAACATGAGTTACTCATTAAAACGTGATTCTGACGTAATGTGGTTTGAGAACAGATACTTTTATGTTTAAGTATTAGAATCAGTAGCAGTAGCTTTAAAGCTATCCTGCTTGCATTGTTTTATTTTATTGCCATTGCTTTTGTTGAGGAAACCACACATGACAGCGTAATAACATGCAGATGCACATTTCACTTTCTTGTTCCGTGTAGGAAAAGGTCTCGTGAGTGCCTTTTCGTAATAAACATCCTTTGTTGTCAAATGATACATTTTCTTTTCGTTACAATAAAGCTAATGGTATCGGGCATATTCATGCTTCGGTTGCTTCATGACAACACAGTTGACCACTGATAACTCGAAACGTGAGCGCTGAGATAAAGAAGTCAAAGCTTAACGCCAAAGCGTGTATTATTCTATGTGCACACTTATAATAATGATAAGAATAGTGCATGTATATAGCGCTAATACTCCACGTTCAATGCATGTTCGAAGCGCACAGTTACAATCTAGTTAAGGAAAGCTCTTTTAAACAGATGGGTCTTCTGAAATGTTTTGAACGATTTGAATGTTGGAGCAAGTCTTATTTCGATAGGAAGTTGATTCCATTCTTTGGCTGCCGAGTAAGAGAAAGAGCGATGCCCATAGTTTGCAGTCTTAGTTTTCAGGACACAGAGGAGATGTTGTGCTTGGGATCTGATAGTTCTAGGTGGTCTGTAAGGCTGCAGTAGCTCACACAGGTAATCAGGTGCGTCACTAAAAATGCATTTAAGCGCCAGGCACAGGACGAGTATGCTATTGCAGTAGTATACCTAGGAAATGACTAATGACAGAACAAGGATGATTGCCGATTGGTTGTTGAGATACTTCCTTATAAGTTCAATTTTTCTAAGCTGAAGGAAGCAGTTTCTGTTTAAGTTGGTTACGTGCTTCTCCAAGGAGAACTCAGAGTCAAGATGGACACCTAGATCTTTAACTACCTCTGCTACCTTAATGAGACAACTCCCAATAGGTATGGAAGTGATATCAACTTTGGACGGCCTCAGCTTGGGTCCAACTATGAGGCACTCTGTTTTGTCATCGTTTGAGATTGTTTCTCAACATCCAGGACTTAATGTCCTGAGAACAGAGGGATGTTTGTTCAAGAGCTTCAGCAACATTAGCCGGATTAGGGAGAAAGGGTTTCAGAAGTTATGAGTCGTCGGCATAGTGGTGACGTCCCATCCGGTGTCTGTCAATGAGATTACCAACACTTCAGACGATATGTCACTCTTTAGTCCTATGACCGTGAAAAATATCATTCTGGGTGAGCAAAAATGTGTGGTTATTCTCCGAGAGATCAACATCCCATCACCATCGGGGACTGGTTTACTCAATCATACCCAAGTGGTGATTCAAACCCATACCTTTGGTGTAATTCAACTACAGGGATACCTATGCCATTTTGTAACAAAATATGTAACGATGGAAGAAGGAACAATACCATTTGATTGGAATAGTTGTCGGAAGTTCAATCACTTTGGCGCGTCATAACAAAAGGCGTACAAGATGGTCAGTATTGCTCCCCTGCTCGCCACTTGACATTGAGTCTACAAAGCCGAGGACATATGTGAACCTGCCGCATGGCATTTCAGAGGGCTTTAGCAGACAGTGCTAGTACAAGCAGTCACACACACACACACACATGCATGCAGATCGATATATGCGAAATAATCTTGACGTTAAACCCTACTTCATGTCACCACTGATCAGCCCATCGTATACAAAAACAA